TGCTTGACTCTTACATTTTTTGCTGCTATTTAGGGCAAAAACATACAAAATCCTCTCACATCCAAAATGTTGCTCTCTAGGTATATGTCTCTTTGTATTTTACTACTCTATCTTATTTACTTAAGACCCTTTTTCATAATAAATTTGGCTGTGGCTGAGTCACCTTTTTTTGTAATACAGAAAAGCTCAACTTGTTACTTTGTATTTGTCTGGCTGTAAGCTCTCTAAGTAACCTTAAATGGCAAATTCTCTTAGTACCAGCAGAAAGCATAAAGAAGAAAGAGTCAACCCTGTAAAGGTAGTGTACAAATTTACAAAGCACAGAGAATGCTTTAAGCATATGAATGAAACCAAAATACCCACTCAAGTTGGAAGCCAAATGTAAACTGATCAATTGCTTTCCTAGGCCTAAAACTTTTATTTCCTTTTTCGTTGTTGTTGGTTTCTATGACTGGGTTTCCAGTGTTAGAAATGAATTTATTTCATTAGACTCCAATGAGAAAAGGTTGGGTATACCAAAATCCTATATAAATTGCTCTCCTTGGGGCCGGGGAGATGGCTCAGTAGGATAAGCGCTTGACTGGCAAACGCAAGGATCTGAGTTCAATCCTCGGTTCCGCCAAAATAAATAAATAAATAAATAAATAAATAAATAAATAAATAAATTGCTCTCCTTGGGGAAATAAAAAATAAACGCAAAGAAAAAAATATATGTTGAGGAGAGATGGCTCAGTGGAATAAGCGCTTCCCTGGCAAACGCAAGGGCCTTAGTTCAATCCCCAGTTCCGCAAAAAAAAAAACAAAAACAAAGAAAAAGAAAATTAAAAAATGTATGTTGAGCTCAAGCAAAGCGTATCTTTGAGCCTTTGGAAAATTACTGATGAAGAGGTTTTTTGCTTATTAATCTGTCCTAGTTTGGCATAATTTACTGGCTTGACTGTTGTGTTCAGCCCTTTGATTTTGCAAAATGACCCAATTGTCCTAGAGGATTATGATTTAGAGTTCCCCAATCCCCAGTTCCAGAAAAAATAATAATAATAATAATAATTTAGAGTCCCCTTGTAGGGCCTTATCTATGGGGTACGTAGAGCAGTTTTTGAGAGAAAGACAAAGAGAGACAAAAAGAGAAACAGAGACAGACCCAGAGAAAGAGACAGAGACGGACACAGAGCGCCTAGCAAGCTGGAATGCAGAGATGTGGAGAACTTCATTGAGTTTGTCTTAGGAGGGGTGGAGGGATAAAGAAGTGGGTGGTGAAATCTTCACCATCAGGAGATGAGGGGTGTGATAAGGAAGAGGAAAGCAGGATGAGGAGACACGTGTGTGGCTTTGTGCGTGAATGTGTGTGTATGTGTGTGTGTGTGTGTGTGTGTGTGTGTGTGTGTGTGTGTATCCACACTTATGCCTGTATGGGCTGTGTTTTCCAAAGAGGGCAATGCAGCGATCTGAAGGGGTAGTAACACCTGGGACCCTCAGCCCGGCTGTCTCGGCCACCTGGGTACCCACCCTCCTTCCCACAGGTCTCCCTGCAGTACAGCAGTAGGAACGGTTGGTTCCACACCTGTGGAGGGTCCCTGGTGAACAGCAAATGGGTCCTGACAGCTGCCCACTGTGTCAGGTAATGAGCTCTCTCTGGCCCCAGGCTGCCTGGCCTGAGGCTGCACTCCCCTCTGACACCTTAGCCCAAGGGCCGCACCCCTCCAGGCACAGGAGCCTTGCAGAGCCATGTGCCTGGCCCAATCAGCGTTGGTCCATCTGGGACTCAGCCTGGGGGTCAGTGGGAGGCTGGACAAGGTGGGGACTGAGGCACTGAGGGAGGTGGTAGAGAAGGGGACAACTCAATCTTTGCCCTCTTGGGGGAACCAAATATGGCTTCTGCATCTAGAATTGCGCTTCCTTTTTTTTTTTTTTTTTTTTTTTTTTTTTTTTGTGACTGGATCAACCTACCCTGGGGACAGGTCTGGCATGGCATGTGGTACCAGGGATTGAACCTGAGTACCACATGCTGTGACCTAAACAGTCACTGTGGTTGCCTAAGCTTGCCTAAGCAGGCGCTTTAGACCACTGAGCTATCTTGCTGGCCCTTGTGTTCCTTTAATGACATCGGCAAGTTTTAAAATCATTACTTGTCAAAAATGATATAACTGAGTTTAATGGACTAAAGAAGATGATATGTGAAAGGGCCTGGTACTCTGTAAGTGCTCAGTGAAAGTCCTTGATAGCCAGGTGTGGAGGCGCACTCCTGTAACGCCAGCATTCAGGAAGCTGAAGTAGGAGGATCACCATGAGCTCCAGGCAAGGCCCTGCCACCAAAAGAAATGCATTCATTAATATACCAATTTTAAAGGCCTCAAAGAAAGAAAGCTCTATGCCACTTGTTCACTATTCACTCCCTTCCCTGTGACTCTGCCTTGTCTCACAGCAGCCAGGACTCACCTGTGTGTCACCACATCCCTCAGGCTGGTGTGTCCCTTGCAGGGAGCAGACTCATCTCCCACCTCATTTATACCCTAGTGGGAAAGATAATAGAGGCCGGGACTCAGACACCAGGGCTCTAGTTCCAGTCTCTCCCTGGGCTCAGTGCCTTCTCTGGGCTCATGTCCCCACCTGAAAACGAGAGGGGCAAATAAACTAAAGAGCCCCAGAGGGCAAAGATTCCTGTGTCCTCTATGTCCAGCTCATGCCTTTTATAACAATGTAATTCATGTGATCACAGCTTTGATTGTACACTGTAGCCTAGTCTAGGAGAGTTGTATTATTGTGTACTTATAGTGAGGGTGGTACGTCATTTGCCTTATGTTAGAACTTCTTGCCCCTGTGGAAAATAAACCCCAATCCCTGGCAGTGGCCTCCACAATACTGCCTGACCCTAGATTACGGGTGGGTGGCTTGACCACGAGCTTAAGGGAGGAGGGAGCTAACAACCTCTGCTTGGCTCCTGACAGCAACTCTTATACGTACCGAGTGGTGCTTGGCCGTCACAGCCTCTCCACAGATGAGTCTGGCTCTGTGGCCATCTCTGTGTCCAGCTATGTGGTGCACCCAAAATGGAACACCAACCTCGCCAATGGGTGAGTTCTGCCTGGGTGCACTTGGGGCTGGGGTAGGTAGAGCCACCCAGGACTGTCATCCCCATCCTAGCTCTGACCATTCAGAGGTGGAGCCAGCCCCAAAGCTCCAGGCTGTGCCGGGGAGGGAGAGGCAGAGTCTGTGGGAGCAGCCAGCTGTCCTGCCCACTGCACCTGAGGATGTCACACCCCGTGTTTCATTGACTCTGTGGGGCTCATAATGCTTGGCAAGCCTCAGGCATGCGCGCACTGCCTTGTAGCCCCTGGCTGCTAAAGGAGTTGAGCAGGCTCTCTTCACATCCCAGCTAGATCTTTTACATTCAGAGATGCTCTGTTGCTGGCCTGCACACACAGCCTGGAGACAGGGCACCTGTGGAATGACAAGGGCCTCTGAGCTCCTCAAAGGGCAGGAGCAGTGAACCCTCTCTGCTCACCCTCTGCCTCTCTCCTCATGCAGGTATGACATCGCCTTGGTCAAACTGGCTAAAGCCGTCACCCTGAGTGACAAGATCCAGCTGGCCTGCCTTCCCCCTGCGGGCACCATCCTGCCCAACAACTACCCCTGCTATGTCACAGGCTGGGGCCGGCTGCAGAGTAAATATGAGCTGGGTGCCCTGAGCCCTGGCAGGGAAGGGAGGAACTGTCACCACACATCACCCAGGATTAAAGCTTATCATTCCTGGGAAGAGCTTAGTGCACTAACAAAGACACAGTAGCTTCGTACATGCGACATCAGCGTGACCCAAGGCCAGAATCCACAGAAGCATTTACCCTGTGACCTAAGGCTTCTGGAGCCCCATCAACCTCCCTGGGGCCACCATCAGAGCCTCCCACCCCATATCCAAACCAGTGCCCTGTGCCACCTGGTCCTCCCACTGAGAACTGGGAACTGGGAACAGCTACTGGCTGAGTGGCCCTTCCCAGAACTCCGAGGACCAAAGTCTGATGATGTTAGGCCACCGTGGACAGACAGAGCACCTGCCCTTCCCTTGGAAAACCAGCACAGGTCTGAAAGGCTCTAGAGATAGATGTTCATGCTGAGGAGGTTAAAGACCTCCACCTCCAAGTGACAAGGACGTACAAACACCCAGCAGAAGCCAGGAGGGCAGAGGACATACCTTACACTTACCACACAGGCAAGACCACAGGTGTCTACCCAGAGCACACCAGGCCAGAACCTGCCTCACCCCAGATGAACAGGGCCAGGGAGGGTCCAAATGCTCGCTTTTAGCCCCATCTCTGTTGCTCACTCCGTATGCTCTGATGAGTCACTTTGGAACCTCAGAGTCCTCATCTGCAAAATAGAAACTCTAATGTGAAGACTGAAAGGAATGACAAGTGGGAAAATGCTTTATATGTTGCAAAATGCTACCATATTCATCCCCACTATGTACTCATGCTTGATTAGTGTATGGGCCACTGGTGATTAATATGCAATATTAATAACTGTGTGATAATTACGGAGGTCCTGCAGGAAACACTTAATTTCTCTGCTTCTCAATGTCTCACCTCAGAAGCAGGAATCAATATGGCTTTGAGGATGGCCCTGTCAGGGAAGCCCTGGAAAGTGCAAAGTGATAATCATTCCTGTTCCTATTAGTGCTAATGGAGACATTAGTGGAGTTGAGTGACAGGGGCAAAAACTCCCACTCACCATACTGGAAATTTTTCCCCCAACTTTAGATGCCAGCAGCCTCACTGCCATATGTAAGATAAGTGTCAGAGGCCCATGAACATCGGCCAACATGAAAATTCATTACAAGGATTTAAAAGCTTCAATTGAAGGGCAGACAGACGGTCAGCATCAGAAACAGCCTAGAACCAGGGACTGGAAACCTGTAAGAAACTCAGGAAATTGTCCACCTGGATTTTTTTTCTTGTAGATTTTCTCCATTGAAGAAAATGCCTGCCACCTTCAGCCTTTCTCTTAGGATCTAGGTCTCTATCCCAAATCCCAGGGAAGGAGCCCATTGGCTTAGAGTGTGTTAGATGATCACCCCTGGGCCAATCAGCAGTGGCCAATACACTAACCAGTTGACCATGAGTGCACAGTTGGAACAACTGTTACAAGCTTTTGCCTGGAAGAAATTAACAAGGGCCACTCAGAAAACCTATCAGGTGGGCCCAATCTCTTTTCATTCAGGAGAATTCTTTGTCCCTCTAACACCTTTCCTCTGGTCTCATTCAGCCAATGGACAAAGCCCTGACATCCTGCAGCAGGGACTGTTGCTGGTCGTGGACTACGCCACGTGCTCCAGCCGGACCTGGTGGGGCAGCTCCGTAAACACCAGAATGGTCTGTGCTGGAGGAGATGGTGTCACCTCCAGCTGCAACGTGAGTATGAAAACCAGGTACTGCCACTACAGCAAAATGAAGCTAGAATGGGGAGAACACCCAGGGCCCAAGCATCCGCCCTCCTGCCTCCTGGCAAAAGCACTGAGGAGCTCTGGACATATTAGAACCTGCCCCTTGTCCTTGTTACATCCAGAAGGAATTCCCCCCTCCCCCCGGGAACCGGGGATTGAACTCAGGCCCTTGTGCTTGCGAAGGAAGCGTTTATCTACTGAGCCATTTCCCCAGCCCCTAGAAGGAATGTTTTTGATTCTCCTTATGCTGCTCACCCTGGCTCACTGTGGGGAAATCCTTCCCACGGTCTCTTCAAGTTCTCTTCTTACCAGTGTTCCTCTTTGCTGTGTAAGCATGAACCAAAAGGAAGTATTTTTCTGGGTTAGAACCTTTCTGAGGTGACTGCCATTTATTTGTTGAATTAACCCCATTAAGGCCCCAGGTGTTCCCTCAAGGCGGCTGCTGTAGAAGCCTCCCTGGAGACAGGGTCTTCACCAGATACTACAGTGGCCTGGGGACAGTTGGAAGGGACTTGAGACTTCAGAGCAACTGTGCTCCTACATTCCACCCACATAGGCCCCCAGGTGGCAGCACCACCTGGTCACAGGAAGGAGTAGCAGATGGTGGCCCTAGCGCTGTGAGCACAAGGCTGGTTTCAGAGCACAGAGACGTCTGCCGTTAGAGATGAATGCTCTGAGGGTAAGGGTTCCAGCAGGTGGCACCTGCGCAGCCCTTACCTCCCACTCGGCTTCCCCAGGGGGACTCTGGCGGGCCGCTGAACTGCCAGGCAGATGACGGCTCATGGCAAGTGCATGGCGTGGTCAGCTTTGGGTCCACTCTGGGCTGCAACTACCTCCGCAAGCCGTCCGTCTTCACCCGGGTCTCTGCCTTCATAGACTGGATCAATCAGGTAAGAACCGGACCAACCCTGAGTCCCGTGGCTCCTGTTGGTCTACTCAGTCCCACAAGGGCCTCATTCTGGGGGTCTAGAACCCCCTTCCTCCAAGGACACTGAGGGGGCTGAGCACCCCTGGCAGCTGAGCACCCACAGCCAGAGATCCCCTGATGGTTTGCATTTTTGTTCTTCCTTCTTCTTTCTTTCAGTTGTATATTGTGTGTGTGTGTGTGTGTGTGTGTGTGAGTGAGTGTGTCTGTGTGTGTGTGTGTCTGTGTGTGTCTGTGTGGTACTTGGGATTGAACCCAGAGCCTTCTCACTGAGCTCCCTCTGAGAGAGAGAGAGAGAGAGAGAGAGAGAGAGAGAGAGAGAGAGACATACACACACAACCTCAGTTGCTCTACTGTAAAACGAGACTTGGACTAAAGCAGGTTGGCTTAGTACTGGTATGAGCCACAGCAGGTAAGCCTGGCAGGGTTGGTGACAGAGCCCACCAAGTAGAAGACACTAGGATCTGATTTCATCCTCTTAAGGTGCACTGAACTAAACTGTCACCCCTGCAGAGCCAAGAGTGCAGCGGCAGCTATGCCCTGGGCACCCAGGAGGAGTGCACAGGGTGGGAGGAAGCAGGTGGCCTCCATTTATCCATGTCCCCCACAGGCTCCACAGTGACATGTCTGTCTGCTGGCTCTGCCTTGCCAACAAATGGCCATGGAAACCAGCAGCTCCAAAGAGTTTGTCTGAGAAAAATGGAACATCAAGACAGATAGAGGCCAACTGTGGGGATTGTGTGGTTGTTGGGTTGTTTTCTTTTTTATATCCTTGGGTAAAGCCAAGACTCAAGGTTGGCAAAGGTAACTCTGAGGTCAGGTTTCTTTTTTGTTTTGTTGTTGTTGTTTTTGTTGTTTTGTTTCATTTATGTATTTGGTACAAGGTCTCACTGCACAGCTTGGACCTATAGTGATTCTCCTGTGTTCAGCCTTCCCAGTGTTGGTATTACAAGCATGCACCAACATGCCCAGACTCTGTTGCTGGCTCAGCAAGCCCCAGGGCTGGAGTAGAGAGCAGGGCTGGGGATCGAACCCTGGTCCCTGTGCTTGCCAAAACAGGCACTTAGTCCGCTGAGCTAACTCACTGGCCCGTGAGGTCAGCTTTTGCTGTGCCACTGGCATCTCTGAGCAGCCTCACAGACAGCTCAGAGAGATGCTGAGTCCTGGGCTCATTTTCCAGCCCCTGCTGCAGCATGTGCAGCCCAGCAGTTGGCATCACCTTCAGGACCAAGGCAGGGGCCAGGCACGGTTGTTTCGTTGCCCCAGTCTCAGCTCTTCCCAGACACAGAGCCAGGCGTGCCCCAGCAGGCCAGATGGCGAGGGCATCAGCAGGAAAGGCGAACCTAGCTTGCAGCTGGGCAGAGGCCCAATGTTCACGGGACAGCAGCCAGGGAAGCACAGATGCCCGCTGATGGGTGCCAGGAGTGGCTGGGGCAAAAGCCAGCTGGCCTCTGGTGGAGGCCACCATCACAGCTGCAGAGGGCTTGTGGAGCCTTGCAGTGGTCCCAGCCCACAGTCACAACGTTGCACCTGTGCAGCTCACAGCAATGGCCCTGGATGCGAGGAAGGGGGCAGCGCATGCCTCTGTAAGCCTAGACAGGTGCACAAGCCCAGGACGCTGCCAGCAAAAGGCACAGCGGGGGGAGCAGGGGGAACACTCAGGTGGCTGAGGGCTTTCATTGCTTTAGTGCACATCTGTTGAATAGCGCACATGAGCCTTAGGCAGAATCTAGGTTGTTTTAATAAATGGTGAGATGTTTCATTATAAAAATACTAAAGCACACCAAGCATGTCAAATGAAAAGGTACAAGCGCCGCTCACCTTGTATCTGCAGTTCTGCCGCAGAGAAACATTGGTAACAACTCCATGTGCCGTCTTCAAGGGTTTATGTGTATCTTAAAAGACCTGTAGGGCCGGGGAGACAGCTCAGCAGCCTAAGCGCCTACCTGGCAAGCGCAAGGTCCTGAGTTTAATCCTTCATACCAAAAACATAAAAAAATAAGACCTACATATGTACAGATACACACACAGTTCCCTTTTTTAAATTCATCTATGTTTTATTTATTTTTACAGCAGGTTAAAGTTTGGGCCTAATGCTGAGCTATATCCCCAACCCTTTTTTTGACTTTTTATCTTGAGAGAGGATCATGCTAAGTCCCCCGTGGGACTCCAACTTGTGTTTCTTCCGCCTCGGGCTCCATCCCAGAATGCAGGGATCACGAGCATGTGCCACCAGGCCTGCCAACACACATGGTCTCTAACCTAAACAGTGTTGTGCTCCTCCACCACGAAGTAGAACATATTTTTTTTCAACACACAGATCTGGGTCACTCTTCTGACCAGCTAAACGCTGTCCCACACAGAACAAGGCAGGGCTGCTGTGTCAGCTTCCGCATTTTATCCTCTCGGCACTGCCCTAGATGTCCCTGAATATTATTGCTCGCTGCCCTGCGGAAGTGCACTACCCAGACCTAGCTCATGAAGTTGGCAGAGCAGAATGTTTAGGGGCCAGGGAAGGCGCTCAGGGGAGCAGCATCTTCTTCGCATGAAGGCCCCAGGTTCTATCCCTAGGACCACAGAAAAGATGTTTGATGGATCCTGTTGGAGGCCTCCACATCATGGCCTGCCAGATGTGGAGGCTCATGCCTGTAATCCCAGCACTCTGGAAAGCTGAGGCAGAAGCATCATGAGTAGGAGCCCAGCCTGGGGCCATTTGGTAGCTTAGCAGGACCCTCTCTCAAGATAAAAAATGAAGGCCAGGGAGATGACTCAGTGGAATAAGCGCTTCCCTGGCAAGTGCACGGGCCTGAGTTCAATCCCCGGTTCCAAAAAAAAAAAGATAAAAAATGAAAACAGACTAGTGGTAAAGCTCAAGGCAAAAACATTGGGTTCAATACACAGTGCCACATTAAAGAAAAATAAAAAGCAGGTTATAGACACTCCTTTACAGGCATCTGTGCCCTGAAAGAGCAACTTGATTTGAGAAACAAATGAAATGTAAAAACCACATCCACCCATACAGAGCTCGCTGTCCCTTGGAGGGGTCCCCAGGGCCCCTGACCTGAAGTCCAATCAGGACTGTAGGTGAAGAGCTATCTTTACGGTCAGACTCAGCTGCTCAGGGAGAGCTGCACCCTCCACTTCTCCCACACACACTCAGGGCAGCAGGCAGGAGCTGTGCACAAGCCCTGTCACTCCCACAGGGACCGAGTGGGCAAGCGCCAGGGCGGCTCTGCTGCTGGGGTCACCACCTGCTTCCTGTGTGTCCACAGGTGATCGCAAACAACTGACCAAAGGAGCCTCTGGGACTGTGAGATCCCGGGAGGTGGCAGGAGGGGAAGAATAATAAAATGACAACAGCATGAATCTCACTATGGTCAGAGTCTTATTAGCAAAAGTCTTCCAGATCCTGAGAATGGGAAAGTGCAGGATGCTGTGCATTCCTGGGTGCCTCAGCAAAGAGGACACATGGGAGATGGGGGACGGGACAGGGGGCCTAGATCAGCTAGCTATCTGCACTGGGGACCTGCGCTCCACTGGACAAGAATCTCACCCTCTCTGGGCTTATGGGCCCCACTTCAGTCACTCCTGGATCAAGGCGCAATCAAGCGAAACTAGGCCTGGGAAATGGGGCTGTTGTGGTTTATTTTATATTTCTTGGTGGCTCTGGGGACCAAACCTGGGGCCCCACACGTGTCAGTAAGTGCCCTACCTCTGCACTACACTGGAGACAGTGATGGCGAACCTTTTAGAGATGAATGTCCAACTGCAACCAAAACCCAGTATTTATCACGAAGGGCCAGCACTGCACACAACCCTGGAAATGGGAGTTTGAGTTTAGGAAAAACAACTCATACATGAACATTTTTTGTCTTAAACACAACACACATGTCATAGGATTGCCACCACGGCCATAGTCATTCTAACAATTTTATGTTCTTTTGAGATACCTGACTCTGGGAAATGTTTTCAAAATAGCAAAAGTCTATTTTATGAGGGAAGATGAGGACCTGGAGCAAAATGATGAGGGACGAAGGCCAAAAAGAATCCATATTCACCTAAGATTTGTTTTTTAAGACTAAATAACTCTATAAAAACATTAACCACTGTTCACACCTCATTGAGAATTCCAGACCCAGCTGTTAAGACTCCTGTAGCCGAAGCTGGTTGACCTGAGAAACACTAGTTTCTCTGTGGCCCCAGCTCCATGTAGAGCCTTGTTTCTCCAGTGGGGACAGCTCTGTCACCCAGGACACAGGTGGTAACATCTGAAAATGGTTGTGGCCAGCACAGCTCGGGGAGGGCTGCCGTTGGCATTGGTGACGGGAGGCCAGGGCTGGCACAAAGCATCCCTCAGGGCCAGGATGACCCCAGGACCAAGGTTTATCTGGCCCACAGGGCAGCAATGTGGGGGCTGAGGAGAAGTGCTCTGGAGAGGACAGGATGACAGGCGAGGCCGCAGCTCTGAGGCGGACGCCGCGTGGTGTCCACAGCTCTCTGGTCCTCCCCCTCTGCTCCTGGACGCTGCTCTCTGCTCTAGGCGCAGCTGAGGGCAGTGTATGGCACGATGAGGGACGGGAGTTGCCCGGATCCAAAGTCCTTGACTTGTAGGTCACAGTGGCCTCAGTTCCCTCCAGGCCTGCAGCAGCAGGAAGCTGTGGGGCCAATGATGAAGCAGACGGGCAGCCCTGATTTCATTCAGTTTTAAAGAAAAGTTTTTTCCGGAGGAAATTGAAGCAACCAGGAATCTGCTTGTAAACCCCTCTCTCTGACACAGCATTAGCAACCTGGAAAAACAAGCACGGCAAGTCTGTGAGCGCTGCGCTCTCAGGTGAATGGAGAGTTCACGGGCCCACAGGGTGTCTGCTAAGTGAGCCCAGGAAGAACAGCTCCCCCTGCTGCCTCCGAGTGGTTATACAGCGAGCACCCGACTACGCGGCTAAGGAACACAAAGATCGCTTGATTGGTGGCACCACCTATAATCCCAGCACTTGGGAGGCTGAGCCAGGAGGATCCTCTTGAGTTCGAAGCCAGCCTGGGCTACATCGTGAGTTCAGCCTGAGCTACAAAGCAAGACCTGCATCTCAAAAAGCCAAAACAACAAAAGAATAAAAATGAAAACGTCAGCCTTACAAGGTCATCGAGTTCCACTCAGGCTGAACGGTGTGCATGAGGAAAGGTCAAGAGAAGAGACAAGGCTCCGGACCAGATCCAGGGCAAGGCTTGGCCCTGGGTGTCCTCCATCCCTGCCCTGCTTGGCCCAGTGGCCTCTGAGGGACCTGAGTTCCCTGCCCTGCCTGTCTCATGTCTTGGGGTCTGGTGAGCAGAGCTCTGCCCAGAAAGTCCCTCCCTCTCAGCAACCCCAGGCCTGGCGTCCCTATCCCGGGACAAAACACAGGGCGGACCTAGAGGGACACAGCAGCATCCCTCCCCCCGCGCCCAGGCAGCCAGGGGCTCTGACTGGCTGTCCACAGTGTCGCAGGGCCTCTCCCAGGAAACAGGAAGGCGCACTGAAGGAGAGTCAGGATGCTCCAGGCCAAGAGCAAAAGACAAAAGGTATAGGGGAAGGGCAGGGCTCAGCCAGCCTTCGAAGCCACCATGCTCTGGCCACTGAGCTGTCCCAACTTGGCACTGAGGACAGCCAGGAGGAGTCTACCTGGGGACCTCCTACAAGGCAGGGCAATGTGGTCCCTTGGGAAAAGGCAGTCGTGTTCCACATTAAGAAAAGCCAAAGTGTCCACCCAGCCTGGTACAGTGCCACAGGCCTATAACTCTAATCTCTGAGAGGCTGAGGCAGAGAGATCATAAGTTTAAGCTGAGCCTGGGCAATTGAGCCACTTAGCTGGACCTTCACAAAATAAAAGGCAGAAGAGGCTTGGGATGTACTTTAGGGTAAAGAGCCTGGGTTCAGTCCCCAGCTTGCCAACACTCACAGCCCTAAGGCTCAGCCACCATCATGCCTCATGTGTCAGCAGCCTGCCTGCCCTGCAGAGGCCACACTGGGCCACCAGCAGCCCAGCCCCACCCTCGGGAGGAAAGCGCCCCTCACCCTGAGCAGCAGGGTCAGCAGGTCTTCAGAAGGAGCCCACCGCTCCAGGACGCTGTCCAGGGTCTCAATGTACCAGGAGCCGCGCGTGGTGTGCCTCCAGGAGACGAAACCTTGGGGAGGAAGAAACCCCACACCGCTTGGCACCACTGCCTTGCCAAACACCGGCGCTCCCACCAGCTCCTGACCGTGACCCATCCACAAAGCGGCCCTCGGTTCGATCTCCAGACACTACACACAGGGACGGCCCACGCCCTGCAGCTCGGTGTCACTTGTGACCTTCCCTCATTCTTTTGACCAGCTCCTGACTGTGGCTGTGACTCTGTGTTGTCCCAGCAAGGACACCACACCTGCCAAAACTCACATGACTCCCTTGCAGGGCAAATACTGAAGCAATGTGCTTTCTCCCCCGCTCCGCACCAGGTCGCAGCAGGGCACTCATAACTGCCCCCAACCCCATCTTAAAGGTAAGAAGGCTGAGGCAGGGCTGGAGGAAGGAAAGGCAAGCGAGGCCACAAGCCCAAGGGCTGTGACTCCTTAAACTGTGCCCCCAGTGCCTCACGAGCCTGACCCTGAGCTGAGGCTCAGAGAGACACAGTCTGTTGCTCGGAGTCCCACAGACACCCCAGCACAGAACCTGCCCGTGACACCACAGCCGCCACTTGGACAGATGGGGACCTCTGGCTAGAGAGACATGCTCACCAGGGAAGGTAGAGTAGGACACGAGGATGTCACTGGGTGTGGGCAAACTAGACACTGCATCAGGTTGGTCCATGGGCCCCGGGTCTTCCTGGAATGGGGCAGCATCTGACTCATGGCTGCTGGCAGAAGCCTCGTCGGCATCGGGGGACATGCCGGCCACCTCAAACCCATGGTCCCTCTGCTCTGTGGGAAGCAAAACCAATGCCACTTGTCCGTGAAATAAAAACATCAATGTTTCTCCTGACAAGCACAGTCAGAGCATGTTCATTCTTAAGACTCCCAGAACTGTGAGCCCAATCAACCTCTTTTCTTTATAAAGCAATCAGCCTCAGGTATTTCTTCATAGCAACAGAAACCTGATTAGTATATGAGGGTACCTTAAGGATGGTGGGAGGTGGTGGGGATGAGCAGAGAATCTCATCAGGGGACAGAATCAGAGAGGAGGTGGGAAAAGGGTATGGTGAGTCAGACAAGGATGCCAGCTGCGGCTCCATTCACATCACCCTCCCTCCACACATCTGACATGAAAGCCTAGCCGAGGGGACAGGGGTGCCTGTTTTATGTATGGCTTGGTCCTTACAGAGCCACATTAATTCCAAACTCCCTGAAAGGCAAAATTAATTCTCCCAGAAGAATAACTGGAAAAAAAAAAAAAAAAAGAACCAAAGAATAATTACCAGCGGGCAGAGGTGTGTATTATGGTTTGTGTCTAGATGTCCCCCCAAAGCCTCATGCAATCTTGGGACGGGTTCTAGTTTTAAGATTGATTCACGGACTAGGAAGAATGTATGCAATGTGTTAATTGTTAAATCTGTCCTACCAATTTGGATTGAAACTGTCTCATTGCTATTTGTTTCTCAATAAAATTATGGAAAAAAAAGATTGATTCACAGTCCAATGGTGGGATTGTGGGTGTGACTGTTGCACCCACCCTGGGGCAGGGAGCCTGCATAAAATCTAAGGGAGGGAGAGGCCTGTTCTGGTGTACCTCCCTTTTTGCTCTTGCTGTCTTGCTGTTTTCTACCGCCATGAACAGCTGCCCTCTGCCGCATGCCACTGTCTTGGAGTCAGCTGAGTAAGGACTGAAACCTCCACAAACTGTGAGCTAAATACACCTCTCCTTCCTTAATTCTGGGCATCAGGCATTTTGTCTCAGCATGAGAGAAAAGTACCCAAGACAGTGTGTTCTCTCGACATGCAAAATGCACAACCCCTGTGGCACACTGAGGTTTCCTTCTTCCTTCTTGGCATGATCTCTGAAATTCTGAAGGACAGTAACCCCCAGACTGACAGTTTGGCCTGATGGAGACAACTGCCTGGCGTGGCCAAGTGGTCACTGTCAGGCTAGACCCCAGGGAATGTCCAAGACCACGAGGACAGGCGTGATTGAAGCAAACAGCAATATCTTTGGTTTAGACTCAGTGTGGCCTGGCCAAGGGCGAGAAGGCCATTGGCCATGACAAAGGAAGGGAACATCTTCTATAGATGAGTTTAAGCAAGGGAGGGGGAGTCCCACCAAGGGGGATGGAAGAAAATGTGGTTTCTCAGGGGTCATTGGCGGGTCTGGTGCCTCTGGGGAAAGGACATGCAGGATGACAGTGGCATCTGCAGATGTACAGGGCTTCCTGCAAGCCTCAGGACCAGGCCTGAGAACCATCCTGATAAACAGATTCAGTCTCTCAGACTGAGTGAGGGGGCTTCCTGTTTGAACAGACTGGTCTGTCAGGAGCTTTTTCTCTTCAAGTTGGGTGGGGGCCAACGTGGGGGACCTAACAGTCACACTGCGCAGCACTATACCTGCCGGCACTCCCAAATCAATGACCTGGAGCCAGACTTTCCAGCCCTGTCCTACTTTCTTAGTGAAGAGGGGACTTTCACTATTGGAGGATTTTATAGGTTATTTTACCTGGGTGTGGTGGTACACACTTGTAATCCCAGCTACTCAGGAGGCTGAGGCAGGAAGATCACAAGTCTGAAGCCAGCCTGAGCCACTGAGAGACCTAACGACCATGTCTGAAAACGAAATTTTAAAAGCTGGGCTAAGGGAGTAACCCAGTGGCAAAGCAGTGCCTCCCATTCAGGAGACACTGGGTCAACCATGAGTACTGCCAAGTAGTTAATTATCTTCACATTGTAATGGCAAATTTTAAAATACTAATTCAACAGTTGGTGCCCAGCATGGTGGTGCACACCTGTAATCCCAGCACTCGGAAAGCTGAGGCAGGAGGATCTTCGCAAGTTCAAGACCAGCCTGAACTACAATGTGAGCTCAAGGCCAGCCTGAGCTGCATAGTGAGACCCTGTCTCAAAAAGACAATTAATTAATTAATTAATTAATTCAATAGTCACCAGACTTCAAGACAGACAGTGTTGTTTCTGTACATCTGTCCTTGGCTGATGTGGCAAAAGCCTTAAACACCCAGTCACACAGCCTGACAGAGCAGGGGCTGCAACTCCAAAGGGGCGTGTCTTAGTCAGGACACCTTAATCCATCTTAGTCTCCTTAATCCAACTTTGAAATCTTGCTATCTCCAGTAAGTTTTGATGTGTTTTGTTTTCATGGCCGTGGGACACATTATCTCAAGTTTTGCTTTGATAGTTTGACACAGTTCTAGTCTAAATTCAAGTAATTAGAATCTACATAGGATGCAACCAGAACGTGAGCCATGGCCGGCTGGGGACCTGTCTGCAGGGCTGAAGGGCCTGGCCCTGCCTGTAAAGAGCCACCAGGGGAGCAAGGTCATCTCAGTCCCAGAAGCAGGTGCTAATGCAGGGGACGGACAGGACTACAGGGGACACAGGCCATCTCACTTGACCTCATACATGGAAGGGAGTCTTTAGGAAGACTTCCAGTAGGTAGTGATAATAAGTAATAGTAAGTACCAGGCATTGTAGGCCTGTAGGAGTCCACCAAGGGGCACCACAGGCCCACAGGTGACAAAGGTCCTCCTTGCCGCTGAGAATGGATGGGGGCAGGCAGAAAGCTAGGATCCCCACTCAGCTTCATTTCTAATTCACTATGTGTCTTTCATGTGATTTCCGGGAGAAAGGAGGACCCCAGGCCTCAGCGTCGGATGCGGAGAAAGGCCGAGTTGGGGCAGCTTCTATAGCTCCAAGGGCACCAAACTCCCCCTTCCTATGATCTCTCCTGAGCTAACAGCACCAGGGCGGGAGGAAGGGAGCTCTAAGATGGTGCTGGGTCCTCGGGTAGAGGTGGAGGGAGTCCCAGTATTGAGCTATTAAAGTGAAGCAGGCCTTGTATACATAGTGCCTGACGTGTCATCACAACTCCACTACCAGGTGAGACTTGCTGTGAGCCCCACTTGTGGGGATGCTAGAGATGAACCGCCCTAGGTTGGTCAGTGAGAAAAAAGCCAGCCCAGGCTTCTCTATCATGCAAAGCCAACCTTGCAGCATGCACCATGACAGCGAGGTGATACACACATCACGGTATAAACCTCAGGAAACAGAGACTGTCATCTCCCTCCATCCTGGGAACTAGCAACCTAAGGCGGCCTGGCATACACAATAGGTACTCAATAAGCATGTAGTGGGTGAGTCACGTGACCGGAGCCCTAGACTACCCTCAGGGCAGAATAACAGACAGGGACACCCAGCACAGGTTCCATGTTACAGGAGAGGATGTATACTCACTCCCTTGAGCAAGCCGGCAGCTCTGTGGTCAAATAATGCCCACTTCTCCGCTAGCTCAGGCTGAGGCACAAGCTGATGTGCCTTTCAGATGTCCCAGCCCCACGGAGCCCGGCGTGGAAGGGACTGCCCAGGACAAAACTTCTAGTGCTCCTTGCTACCACTGCATGATCCACAAACCAGGAAGTCAGGTAACAATGAAGAAGGGTAAGATTAAGGTCAAGGGGCTAGGTGGGCACGGGGACTCATGCCACTAGTTCCAGCCACTTAGGAGGCTGAGGCTGGAGGATTGCTTGAATCTGGGAATTCTGTTCAGCCTGAGCAAAATAAAGACATACTGTCTCAAAAAAAAAAAAAAGAAAAGAAAAGAAAAAAGAAAGAAAGAAAGAAAAACTAAGTAAATGGTTAAATAAAAACAGAAAGCTGTGACCTATGCTGAGTTTACACACCTATAATACTTAAATAACAGAACTTAACAAAAAAAGGGGATACAGATGAATGTCCATTTTGTATCTGTGTATTCAGAGTGGTTAGGATAGATAGTTACATTCTCTTAATGAATAGAATGATTTGTTCTAATCATGTTTGTAAATAGGATCTCAAGTCCGCATCTTGTACAGCAATTTACCACTAGGAAGAATGTATGCAGCGTGTTAATTACTGAAACTGGGGGCCAGGGAGATGGCTCGGTAGAATAAGTGCTTCCCTGGCAAGCGCAAGGGCCTGAGTTCAATCCCCGGTTCTGCCCAAAA